GGAAATGGATTCAGGTCAATTATCGTCTGGAAGATTTGTACTGTTTAGAAGATGAAGGTGAAAGAAGAGCCTGGTTGTTGAGTCCAGGGGTCAGGACACCAGGGGTCAGGGGTCAGGAGATCAGGGCAGAAGGGTTAGAACACATAAAATGGGGGGAAATTGAAAGCCGTGTAAGGAGGAGGTTTTTTTTGTTACCAAGTACCAAGAGTTTTATTTATGAAGTGTCCTTGTTCAAAGTAATAATAAACACCATCTTCATTTACGCAGCACTGACAGCCTGGCAGAATAATCACAGCTGTGAAAGAATCCATATTGTTCTGGGACCATCATCTTGGAACCTGGACTGCATTCCTTTCTGTGGGGGAGACGTCAGGAAAGGTCTAGCGTTTCATTTGGCACCGCGCAGTGGGGAAGTATATGCAGAACCCCACCGAAATGTGGTTGGAGCCTCCAGAGACAAACGGATTTCTCCCACCTTCCTCCCCCACAAGTGAAAATAATGCACTTTAATGTGCACAAACCAAGACCGTGTCAACGAGAGCGGAGACCACTCTGGTCAGGAATTACATCTTATAAACATATTTGATCAGAGCGCTGTGGTCTGGGCACTGAAACGGGATCTTAGTGGAGCTATTTGTACAAGGCAGGGGTTTATGATGAACCCACTTTATATAACCTTGAACTATTAGATGTTATCGTTACACCGAAACCCACTTTTGTTTTCAGTATAAACCCAGAGGGAAACGCGGCTCACAGGAACAGCCGCGCTGTAAGAACGTGGTTATGCAAAAGATGTTTTCGCTGCTAAATGGAGCCTCGATGGAAGCTGCAGTTTCTGGACTGAGAATTATACGAGATGTAAATGATCACATTAGCTGCTAAATCACCACCAGAGCAGAAACCTCACCTCTGACTGTCTTACTGACCCCAATCCCAGCACTTCTCACCTGAGCTTTGAGAGACGTGATGGTGTCTTCCAGTTCCTGTCTGAGCTCAGCCGGCATCAAACCCTTGATCTTTTCCTGGTACTCCTGACGCACCGACGTCACCTGAGAAGAAGAAGAACAAGAGTTCAAGTTCCCTCGGAGGAACAGTCCGTCCAATCAAAACAAGTGCATCAAGTTCCAAATTTGTTGTAATATAAATTGTTTACAACATTTAGATTTGTTCAAAGCAATTTATTTCTCACCTGCAAAAACACTAAGTCACAGGGCGAGGCTACTTAATTAATTGCAAATCACAAACGTATTATCTGATAGTGACAGTTTGGAATAACTCCAAACCAAAGACTTAACTTCATCTGGCACTGAGCAAGTTGTACCAGGATGTGTGATGTAAGTTCTGCAGGAACAATTAGCAGTAGAAACACTTCTGTCTTGCCAATTGCCAAATCATCACCTTCCCGACTCACACACAGACAGTGGGTATTCCCTCTTTATTCACGGCTCTTCGCAGCTCCTTCACATCTCCACAGGGGGTTCACAGACTCGCATGACTCTCTGTACAACACCCCCTACAGGCTGCTAATGACTACAGCCACATCTGACACAAGGCATTTACGCTCCTGACACAGGCGAGGTTTAGAAGAGGACAGGGCCACGTTGGAGTACGGAACAACATCAAACAAAGTGGGAGCGCAATCAGAAGCTAGCTTAGCTGTGCTAGCTCCACTTCACAGGAGGCTGGAGGAAGTCTGTCTGGGGCTAAATTACACTTCACTGAAACCCAGAGTCTGATTATAGAAGCTGAAAAGGATTTGGTCGAAGCAACCGCCACTTTTCACCCACAAACACACATGAATGGATGAGAGAGGGAGGGAGAGAGGGAGAGAGAGAGACCTGCCCCTGTGATATGGACATTTCTTTGATTCATTGACTCTCCATTACTGTGTCTTAACGCCTGAAAATATTACTGCTCCTGAAACAGAATCATTTACTGTATTCAGACTTTCTTTTCTCGTCCATAAAAATAAGTCACTAGCTTACTGCTGTCTGTAGGTCAGACAGGTCTCACAGCGGCTCGGTCAACTAATACCCAGCCTGATGAGCTGCTCCAACAGAACCTGAGGAATCAGCTGAGGCTGTGAAAAACCCGGGGGTCGTCCCCCCACATCTGTCCAACTGTGACCAGAGGAGAGACTGAGCATTTGGACGGATGCTAATGTCTTTGACAGGACCAGAGTCTCCACACGTCGCACCTCCCACCAGACCCTCCTCTATAGGGAGGTCTGTGAGGAGAGGTGAGGAGAGGGGGACGAGAGGGGGTTTTCCTAAAATCATTTTCCTGTTGTGGATTGAACCGATTGTTCCGTCTGTGGCTGATTAATCCCTGCAAAACACAGAGAGGGATTAGGAGGAGGTTCAAAGCGACCCACAGAGTAAACCATCCTGATGTGGAGCAGCAACACAAAGTCAGCCGTTTGATTACTCTACCACATATTTTTCTGGCTCCCTCGGCCCCGTTCACTTGGACGTGTCAGGCCAACAACAGAGAGGCCGCTGCTTCACAGATATATGTCTTTTTCTCGCTGTGTGAGAATGAAGTCAAGGATAATTTGAGAGAGACTTTTTCAAACAAGTGGCAAAAAAAAGCGCTTTTCATAAGCTTTAATTTGAACGTCCGCGATTTGGGGGAGAAAAAAAAACGAGCTGAATCCTAGGGAGTGCAAAAAGCGTCTATCTCTATCTATAGACGTTTCTGTAGTCATAACAAAATGGCTAGCCAAGACAAAACACACTCCACTACCTCAGACCAAAGCAATAAACAATGGTTAAATAAACACATCCCTTACCAACCGCTCCGTACATAAGTCTTAGATTCTTCAAAAGCCCAGCTCCTTAGTTGCTGCATTCTTGGTTCATGTATGGTGCAGTCGCCGCAGCAATGAGAGATCCGCTCGGCCTAAATTACAAGCTCCTCTGTGGCAAAGCCTTCTCCGTTCGCCTTCCCATACATTAGAACGGGCAAGCCTGCAGTGGGACTCACAGAGAGCAGCGGGGACGTCTGGATACTGTACATACAGTAGAGCCCCCCCATCAGGCTGATCTACGTGGGTGAAGCCACCGAGGTCGGTGTAAACGACGACAACGTGGAAGAAACGTGGAAGAAACCTTGGAAAAATATGTGACGACAACGTGGAAGAAACCTTGGAAAAATATGAGCGAAGGATTTCACGGACAACTGGAAGTGGATATTAGTCAAGAGACTTGACAGAGAAATTAAAGACAGTGAACTAATTTGATAACAGTTTGGTAAGTCAGACCCCCGAAAGCCAGCCCCCGCCCCAACAGTTTGTTGTAGGGTTAAGCAACCCTCCTGGAATCAGGTCTTTAACTTTCAACATGAACATCATTTTGGCCAGTGTAACGTTCAGGACCAATCAAATTTAAATCCAGACACAGGGACAGGAAGTGCTACATATGTGGATATAAAACTGGAAACACTGGACTGACCAAAGGTTGACTGTGAGTCTAAATGGTTGTTTGACTCTACATGTGGCCCCTGATGAATTTTCACATATGCTGCATTTACTGTACATTTACCGTACACACGGTTTCAGAATAGTAAAGCATTTCTAATCCCCTCGCTCTGCAGCAGGTGTATCCAAACCTTAGCCGTAGTCGACTACACAGTGCATGTGGGTGGAAGCCGCAGTGTTGTTCTGTTACAGCACCTCTGTAGTGGAAACGTGTGCCAGCCTAAGAGACGCAGTAAAAGGAGACAAGGACAGGTAAAGTATTGAATCAGGACGCCTCACTCTCTCTGTCGATGCTTTTTCCATTTTTTAAAAATTCACCAAAGGAGTGTCTCTCAAACTTTCCCGCACATGTCTGAATCATTCCCTGAGAGACGCAGATTCCCTGCTTTGCATCCTCCCGTCTCTTCCAAGGTCCTTCCTCTCACATCTCTGTTTTACTCCGTGCAACTACACGTTTTCCCTGTTCTTTTAACATCGTTTTTTTGCAGCAAAGGCGTGTCTGTTTGTCTGACAGGTGGAAGGAGGCATGTGATGGCGTCTAGAAAATAAAAGCCTCCTCGCTATTAGCACAGATGTTTGGATGCCTTTGAACGCCGCTGTTGATCAAGCCTTCCATGAGTTTTTTTGGCCATTGATGGGCCGCAGATGAGAGCGAGCGGGAGAGAAGAGAGAGCGAGGGAAACACAGAGAATAAAAAGTGAGACGCCTGATTTTTCAAAGCAATCAAACGAGACTTTGACTTTCTGGAGAAAACGCAGGTTTTCATCTCTGCAGCTCTCTTTTCATGAGGAGAAGTTGTTTGTTCCTGATGAAGCGTGATTCTCCAGTTTTGAAGACTGCACAGAGTGGCAGTCTTCTTTTCCTCCCAGTCATCTTAAAGTGAAAACATCTCATCTATATATAGTCTTTAGACACTGGGTTCGACTCCCGGCTCTGTTTGGTTCTGTCACATGGTGTGGATTCTGACAGCTGCCAGCAGAAAGGAACAGGCCCTCAGTCTGTCACACTGATGGGAAGCTTGATGTATGCTAATTAATTTTGTGAGTGTGTGTATGTTCTGTGTGTGAACACACTGGCTTGCGTAGGTCGGTTTTTGGGGGTTTCAATGTTAGCTAACATTCTACTGTGAGTGAAAAAAAACCATCTTTTTTGTCTTATTCTGTTGAAATGTCTTCATTTAGCTGCGTCTTTTCATCTGATCATTAAGGAGAAAACCTCTGCTCTACTGTCTGCTCACGCTGCAGTCGTTCCTGCAACTACTGCTCACGTGCCGTTATTGGGTCACAGCAAAAAAAAAAACAAAAAACAAAAAACAAAATCCTTGTAAATAAGTAAAACGTGTTTGTGGCAGATGGCACAAATATTTTCAAGTCTTGCGAATCGTTTCCAGATGCTGTATCAGATTTTCGTTCACTGACTGTATGCTAATGAAGTCCTGATTTTCTCAGGTTTTTTTTTTTATATTTGTACATTAAAAAGCAGTGTGACACAGTACCCAATCAGCAGTCAAATAAAATGGTTGTCCTGTGCTGGCACAGAGGCATTAATGAGCAAAACATGGATCATTTTCAGATGGTTGGCTAACTCTGCTCATCTGAAGTCAAACTACGCTTCGACTGTTCTAGGTGGTTACAGTCACAGTCTGAGATGATCAGGAATTCGATACATTCTCCTTATAGGAGAGTCAAAGCAGAAGACCCCAGCTTTATAGGAGTATAAAAACACATGTTTTTTAAAAAACATATGTACAGAAAGATATTTGTAATAAACCGACCATCAAACAAGAACATATGTTCAGAGGAATGCAAAGAGTTTCAGGGACTGCACTCTGTAAACTCATTTGGTTCTTTAGTTCACGGCCTTCTGTTTGGGAGGGGTTCATTAAGCGTTGACATAATTGTAGATTTTATCATTTATAATTCTATTTTGAATATGTAAAAGTTGACTGTAATTTCATTTTGAATATGTAAAAGTTGACTGTAGCTTCAACTTAGACCAAAAAAGTCCTTGGAAAAAAGGCCCTTCTTTTACCAAAACTTAAAAAAACCTATGATGTACAGATGAGGGCATAGAAGATTCCAGACAATCTGTGATGACTGCATGTTCTCCTATGGACACTCCTGCACACCTGCAGCTGTTCAAAGTATATCAGTAGTACCAGAGTGTGTATTTTGTATAAGCTAAAGATGGAAACCTGCGTCCGCAGTGTATACTCCCATGCTACGCTCTTGATGTGGACGTCCACGTATACTTACATTTGTTGAGTCTACATCGTGTCCACACATCAACAATGCTACAAAAGGCTGGAACAGCTGTGTGTGAACGTGTTTACATGGCAGTGACACTGAGGCTTCAGTCATAGGAAACAATGTGCAGCGCCTCTGGGAGCGGGTCACTGACCCACACCTCCTAAAATCCACTGACCCCTCTCTGCAGATTTATGACAGTCACACACACCGAGGTGTGTGATGAGTGTGTGAAGTGTGTACAAGGGTCGGTGGGTGGATCAGAGGGGGACAGGAGAATGAATGACTCCGGTCTACATACCAGGCTACAAAGACGTGCCTCCTGTGTGAGCGCAGTCATTATTGCTTTCTTCTCTGTGTGTGTCAAGGTCAAAACAGAGCCTGATTACAGGGCATTCTGTAGAGCCATGGGGAGTGTGTGTGCATGCAGAGGCTTCCCTCTGAACACAGGCGGTGGTGGCCTTCCTGGCCCTAGGCGCTGGCTCTTGAAGCCAAATCTCAAGGAATTTGCGAAATATGCGAGGGGGCACATCTCCAGCTCTGAGCAGGAGGACGGTGAAGCGTCGATGGGGAGACGACGACCGGATTAGAAGTGTTTTAGGATCGGCTGCTATGAAGATGGAGAATCAAGAGTGAGGAACAAGGTGCATTAGAGATGTGTATGTAGTAAATGTCAGTTAAGGTATTCAAGAATCTTTGCAGCAGTGTGTGTGGGGGGGGGTGGAATTAATAAGTCACAGGAACGTTGTGTGCTGTCGAGAAGAAAAAGAAGTGCAATGAAAGAACCGAGAGCGGCAGATGGAAAAAGTTTGAGGGAGTGATGCAACACTAATCGTGAGAAGCAAATAGACTTGAGAGAGAGACATCTTGCCTCTGTTGTACAGGCCTGACAAGGATGGATGAGAGAGGAGTGGGGAGGGGAGAGGAGGGGATGAGAGGGAGGGAGGGAGAGAGAGAGGGAGCGTCTGCATTACCTTCTCCTCTGTCTCCAGCTCTTTGCTGAGGAGTTTCTTTTCTGAGCTGTGCAGCTGCCTCTGAAGAGTTTCCACCTTTTTCTGCAGAGCCTGGGGAAACAGTCAGACACAGAGAGTCAGCGCTGTCAGCTGACCGACGGAGAGGAGAGGAGAGCAACTCCAGATCTGTGGAGTGCAACGTGCAACATGCTGGTCTAGAATTACCGCGGTGAAGGGAAACACAAAGGTAGATGAACTTGTGAACTCGTGTTTACACAGGGACACAAAACAAGGCCCCGCCGGGGGAATTGGACCTTCTGTGGCCTATGAGGAGCTGGGATTCTTCAACAGTAGAGTATGGAGGAATATCTTTTAAAAAATAAACAATAGGATCATGTTGAAAAAAAACCCCCAAAACGTTAGGGACCGTATTCACCTGCAGGGGCACCACTAAAAGTTCAAGAGTTGTTGATGGAAGAATAAGGTGTGTGTGTGTGTTTGTGTGTAAGAAGGTGACTTCCATATTGGGTGTGAGTAGCTTAGCATATTAGCTTAGCTGCTTTAAATCTCTAAAGTAAGAATGTGCTTTTTTTAATATTATGGTTTGTATTTCAAACAGAGAAGAAACCTCTGCTTTCGCTGATGGAGGTGTACAGCTCCACAAAAGAGCTGATTTCTGCGCTACATTTGTCTGGCTAATGTTTTCTGAGACAAAGAAATCACATCATAATGCAGTACCTGAAACGATCGCACTTTCACCCACGGAGCTGATAAAGAAGTATGAGTTCCTCAGATTGAGGTAAGAAAGACGAAGAGAACTGCCCTGCGTGTGCCTGAATGTTCGAGGCTATTTTCTGCCAGTAAATAATCGCAGAGGAAAGAAAGGAACAGTTCCTGCCCCCGACACAGAACCAGATGTTTAGAGTACACATATGGGCCCTTCCTTTCTGATTAGTCGGCAGGAAAAGAAAAGTGATGTATGTGCACGCACGTCAGTGCACAGACCTTATCACGAAGCACCACCGTGTATTCACACTTTCACACACACACACACATACACACACAAACTGTGAAGGACTCTGGTTCGTAGCAACACAGAAGTGTTTCTCCCCAGTGGAGTTGACTGAGCCCATTCAACTGACACAGACACAGACACAGCCACAGACAGAGAAAATGTAAAGACTTCAGAGGACCAACAGAGGACTTTGTTCAAGGCTCATCCAAAACCATGTTTAGTGGATTTTTTTCTTTCTCATTACATTTTAAAACTCCAAACATCCTGTTCTCACCAGAGCACAGCTCCACCACCTGAAGTCTACAGATGAAGTAACTCCTTGATTAACAAACATTCCAACTCTACATATCATGAGAGACTGATGACATGGGAGCAGACTGAGGTCAGTTTCACATCTGCAGCATGAAAGGCAGCTGGACTCCAGAACACTGATCCTGCTAATCAGACTATTTTTTTTTTAGGCAGTTGCAATCACATTTCAGCCCACGTCTGGAGCCCATGCACCGCGTTGCCTTCGGTTTCATCATTTCATTTTGTTTATTGGTGAATCAAAGGCTCAACAACACTAAAAAAAGAATTGTCTGTGCTGATGATGATACCGTTTAAGTAAGCTCACACACTGTGGAGGACAGAAGCCCCCCTCGGCTCTCGTCTCTTTTGGGAGGGTTCTTTGAGTGGGTGAAAGGTCAAAGTAGTCGGACAACACGCTATTTTATCAAACACAGTCATATGATACTGTAGAAAATGATTTTTTCTTATTGTTTACACTGATCTATTCATTTCTATATGGTGCCATGCGGCAACTCTAAAATTGACCATAGATGTTATTATCGATGGTTGTTTGGCCTTGCCATGGACTGGCTAACTGTCCAGGGTTACAAGACTTCACCTGTTGACTGCTGGGATTGTCTACTGCCCCCTGTAGTGGAAAATTAATAATGCATTTCTAAATGAGATTGATTTTTTTGTATAATTCAGTTAAATGATAACTTTTGTATTTTTTTTTTCATTTCATTTTTCATATGTTCATCCAGTTTTGTATCTGGGCGGTGATGCCAGTTCCAGGCAGCAGCACGGTTGATGAAGCGAGATCTGACTTTTGAAAAAACCAACCAGTGATTCAGTGCTTCGTGACACAGCGTTTCTGGACGAGGTCTTCTGGGAAGTGAAGCTGACTTGTGTGCCTCACTGCTGACACTGCTGCTCTCTTTCATGTGGCTTTTGTATGTGATGTGCTCAGAACAACTGCGAGAGGAGAGGTTCAACACTTGTCACTTCATTAATAGAAATATATCACATGACTGTGTCGATGAACACGAGCTCGTCATGAGTCAGAAAGGTCTGTGGAAATTAAGTAATTATCACCGTCTGGGGCGGCGGTTATTATTCAGAGATATTAAAGGCACGGGCTGGTGCACAGCAGTATCTACCCCACTGTCTCTGATGGACACCAAAGATATAAATAATTGACAGACACTGCAGACAGACTGGCTCAGCTCGTCTGATGAAGTTGTTTTTATGGCTTTTATAAACAGGAATTTCTTGAATAATTTATGGACAAACATCAGCGGAAAAAAAAACTCATGCACAAACCATTTCACTGAAAAAACTTTGAAGAAGACTTCTCCTTTACTGTTGATCCATTCATCTTCAACTTCCAGTCTGACTCCCACAAAGAGGTTCGTTATAAATCAACCAGAGTCTCAGGAGTTGGACGGATAATGTCATAAAACACTTCACTAATAATCTCTTGTTTCTGATCCCACGTTTTCAACTGCTTTTCAATAAAACACTGTTGTCAGAGATGGGCGTTCTAATGATATCTAGAGCGGATCAAATGATAAAACATGAACTGGCTAACGTTACCAGTGTTGCTACATCTCTTAGTTCGTTGTCAGCTAAAATGCACTCAACCATTATTCTCACGTTTCCTTTATATGAACTCATAATTTACAAAATGATTATTTACAAGTCTAAAATAGTAACTGTGCTTAAAATATCATTACCAATGCAATGCAACATGACAACAACATTTTAATTAATCACTCCGTGTTTACAGTTTTCCACTGTAATGTTAGCTGTATTCCCAAAGAACAATACGCTTGTTATCGGGATCCTTTTGCGTGACTATTTGGCCAAGAGAAAACCAGATAACCTGGTGAGTTGACATACAGAAATCGATGGTACGGAACACCAGCTGAGGTTTCCTCAGTCAGTATGGATTATTTAGGACAGTAAACAATAAACAATAATAATTTTTAGACAGAAGCCCATGTTGCATTGCACTTGTCGTGGTATCCTGAGTATGTGGTAGGTGTGGTCTGCAGACAAGACTGGATTTCAGTCTTAAACTGCTGGATTGTATTTTAACCCAGCGTGTTGACCCTGGTTTGGATGGATCAGATACTGCGTCTGCTGAACGTTCAAATCAACTGTAGTTTTCTACAAAACATATGAAGAAAATGCAGTTTTTTGCAGTGTGTAAAGCTGCAGCAATGAGTTTGACTAGGCATCATGACAAAAGTGTCTCCAGATGCTGATGGTTAGATGGTCTAGATCAGCCACACAGGCTGTGATTGGGCCAGAAGAAGAAGTCAGAAATTTGAACTTCTGTAAGAAAAGACAGAGACAAAGTCTGATGACGAGAGCGCGACACAAAAATCTGTCAACGTTGTGCATGACGTGACGGACAAGAAGTTATAACAGGAACTTGCAAAGAAGTGAGAATGAGCAACAGTGAAATGATGGAGACACGTGACCAGAGCGAGGAGAAAGGAGTCGACCCCCCCGCCCCCCCGTCAGCGATGCAGCTCTGCCTCTCATTCCAAAGTTTTGCTCAAAGGATTAGGGAGGCACACGTGCACGCAAGCTGCAGCAAACACTCCGCTCAGAGGCATCCGTGCAGGTATAGGCACGCATTAATATTAACAGTAAGAAGTTACACTGAGTCAAATGAGTACGCAGTTTTTGGATGTGTTCGCACACAAAAAGAAACCTGTGCACGCTGACACACACAGACACACCAATCCCTGAGTCATCTTTCCTGGGTGGTCTCACCGCTCAGATAAGGGGAGCAAGTTTCCCTAGGGTGAAGTTAAAGCAACAGAGGGCAGAGGAGAGAGAGGGAGGGAGGGAGGGAGGGAGGGAGAGAGAGACAGAGAGAGAGTGAGTGAGAAGCAGAGTAGGAAGAAAGGAGGGACGAGTGGGAGGAGGAGGAAAAAAAGGCCAGGGGCCTCTTTAAACTTGGTGTTTTGTTAGGAGCCGAGCGGCTCTTCATGTGCGGCGCGGCCTTCTATTTGCAGCGTGCTGTCAGAAGTTTCTCCCAAAGTCTGGATTAAAGAGATCCTCTAATGACACTGAGGCTGGACGACTTCAGACAGCAGAGAAAACCTCACACTGAACCGCCTCCAGCCAAGTACAAACACACACACACACACACACACACACACACACAGACATAGACATTTGAACATAAACACTCGTCTCACACACACACACAGACCAGCATCAGCTGAACAAGGCTGCGTGTGAGTGTGTGTGTGTGTGTTAGTCTACTGATCTAATGGTAAATAATAAAGGAGGTGCTAACCTCGAGGAGAGATGGATGGCCAGTGAGACGAGCACAGGCGCTCTTTTATCTGCAGTTTTATCAAAGGATTGTGGGAAAGGTAAAAAAGTGAGTGTAAGAGAAAGAGAGGCTAGAGGAGGAGGGAGAGAGAGGGGGAGAGAGGGGGGAGAGAGGTGTCCCTCCTGAGGTGTTAGAGAAGAGAAACTTTTGCCTTTTTTTCTGTCTGACGGTGTGTTAAAAAAAAAAAAAAGTGCTTTAGCTCAAAGGTTAGGGCCGTCTCCTGACAGACAGCTGTGATATCGGGATGAACCGAACGGCTTTTTGTACTTTTGATGATTTTCAGCACTTTGGTTTTTTTTTCTTCTCCCTCCAGAGTTGATTCCAACAGAAACACGTACACGTAGATACCTCCAAACCCATTCGTAATCCCGCGTCCTCGCGGTGGCACAGCTACAGTACGGGGGCACCTCGGTGCAGCACTCATGGAATGGGAGAGAAGACAATTGCCGCAGTAATGAAGACATGTTG